GTTCAAGCAAAGGGAATCGCGCTCCGCCTCCAATGGATACCCGGACACTGCGACGATCCAGGGAACGACGCAGCAGATCGGTTGGCCAAAGACGCGGCAAGCCCGGGCAAAACACACCCCTTCCGCCCTTTACTGACAAGGAAGAGAGCGCTTATCCGGGACAAGATCCGCGCTCAATGGGAGCGGGAATGGAAAGCATCAACCAATGGCGGTCACTTGCGAAAAATCGATAGCACTCTACCGGCGACCTACACCAGGAAGCTGTATGGGAATTTGCCCAGGGGCCGGGCGTACCTGTTGACACAGCTACGCACGGGCCACAATTGGCTATCCACCTATGCCAAGACCTTCGGCTTCCGCGACAATGATCAGTGCGTGTGCGGCGCGCAAGAAACAGTCACCCACGTGCTGGTGGACTGCCCAAATTTGAGGGAAATCCGAAGGGAGCTAAGACGTGAAGCTGGGGACGCGTTCAACGACGTGTCGAGTCTGCTGGGAGGCTCAACCGAAGGTAGGAGAGGTAAGCCAGACATCGTGTCGCGGGCTAGGACGGTCAAAGCCGTACTAGACTTCGCTGAGGCGTCACAAAGGTTCAAAAGTCGCGCGCCATGAGGGCAGCCTAATAACTTAAACGGCACCTGGGCCACGATAGGCCTTGACGAGGCTCCAAGTTCGTTTTCAGGAAGTGGGACATTACACGTGTACATACAAGGATATATATAGTTGTTGTATCCTGTATATCGCCAAAAGCGAGAGGTCAGGGTAAATGATATCATCCATCCATCCATACTGTATCGTATCTACATATAGCGTCCTGGTCATTGACTCGAGTGTGGCCATTTGTACAATTCCCAGTGCATACCGGTTTGTCCTTTTACGGTCAATTTCTGCTGTCGCCGGTAACTTGAACAATACTTCCGGGACAAGAAGGCGAATGTCTTCATGTTCTCTGGCAGCGCTACCATCTACTCTGGCGAGTAACACAGCAGAGAATGCAAGCAACTCTATGGGCGTGTTCTCGGTCAAATTTGATGGTGACTCATTCGCCAGTGAAGGGCGCGCATTTCATGTAGATCTCACAATTACCAACACGGTTAAATCAAGCGCAGGGCGAGGTGCAATTCCGGGCTGAAATTCGGACAGCTAAAGGCCGATGGAGTAGATTACTCCTTTTCTTAGCGCCAATGTGCATTTGAAATCGAAGGTTACTTGAACCGTTGAGATCCCTTAGGATTTTTGTCATCACAAAAGTACCGGCCAGCTTAATTCCGTTGGTCCTCCTGCTCATAATAGTGCTGCAGAAGTTCACGATGCATAATTTGCCTCGGGCCTATTTGATTGCATTGTTTAAATGAGCGAAGTGGTGAACCAATAAAAACCTTGAAGTTGACTGAAACGAAGTGGAAGACCTCGATCAACTTGGTTGCGATGATTCACCGTTTCTTGCATGGTGTGGCATGAGATCAACGACGAAGCGGATAGAAATGGCTTTCTGTGACAAGAACAAAGCTACTAATCTACATTTCTTGCCCTACGTTCCCTTAAGAATGCAGGGCTCGCTATGCGACCCCATTGATCTTTCAAGTCACTACTAGAAAACTCGAAAATTGGATGTGGGTCTGATTTTTCCTCGACTCAACACTGCTCTCGGTAAAAAAGATAACCCCAATTATGGCCACTCAACCAAAACCGAAATCAAACCCAACAG